GATATGGTACCCAGTTGCAACATACTACTAAGGTACTACATTCTGAACACAGCACATTCGCAGCCCCCCTTCGCGTGCGCGAAGCTTCGGAACTGGCAAATCTCTATCTGGGGGCCTCTGACGACTCTGGGAGCGCCTTGAGGAAGCCCTCGGCCTGCGGCACGAGTCCACGAAGTGCTTCTGCAAAGTAGGGGGTTTAGGGTTTAGGGTTTAGGGTTTAGGCTTTAGGGTTTAGGGTTTAGGGCTTAGGGCTTAGGGCTTAGGGCTTAGGGTTTAGGGCTTAGGGTTTAGGGTTCAGGGTTGCCTGCTCCTTACAGCAGCCGCAAGCTTGCTGGAGGGCATGCTGGAGCTCCTTCCGAGATGATTCTCAGATGCTGAAGCAAAAACATATCACGGTCACCAAAGGCTGCAAACGTCCTCCACAACCTTGGGTCCAGGCATCTTCCTTGACTCGCATCAGGGGCAGGTCTCTCTCAAAATTGACGAGAAAAGAGGTAGAACATCAGGCTGGAAAACACACTTTTCGACTCCCGCAAAGAAGTCCGGAGGCCAGGTCCTAAACCCTAAACCCTAAACCCTAAACCCTAAACCCTAAACCCTAAACCCCTCATCATCAGATCAAGCTTCTTCTTGTGGCCCTCGCGAATGACGCTGGCGGAAACCGCCAAGAGGAACTTCTGAAGATCCCCTCGCCAGGCACAACAGATTCTCAAAAATCCTTCCACCAAAGGGCTATACTCCCCTTAGAACCTGAATAAAAATTATATTTTTAATAAGAATAGTTCCCAAGGGGGATAAAGAGGAGAGGGGGGGTGGGTCTGCGCCTGGCAAGGAACCAAACGCTGCCTGCTTCTCGAAGAAGCTGTTGACCGCCTTCACCATCTGGCAATCCTGGAGGCTCAGCAAGAAGGCGCAAGCAGGCCAGCTGTGCTTCTATGGGCTCGAGAGGGGCCACCGGACGAGAGAGATCGAGGAAAACGTACGGTTGCGGACATCCGGAGGGGAATGCAAAGTGAACTCTTGCACAGCTCCAACGGAGCTCGCTTTCGCGACTAGCATCACAAAGCATGGCGTGCCGTGCCAGTGCCAGCGTTGGGTCTCCTCCTTTGCGGCCACGTCAACCTCCTCTTGGCTTTTGGGAGATTCGCCTGGCCACATTTTGCTTGCTGACGCACAGCACAAATGAACGGGGGGGAGCAAAATGGGAAAACGTCAAGTCTCAGGGGCGATGAAGCATGCTCCGATTGACCTGCAGCGATACGAGCAGCTTCCTCATTCGAGCTCTTCGCGGGCTCGAAAGCGAAATCTGTCTTGACAGCCTTCAAGCACCACGAGCTACGAGCTATCCGTCGAGCAACCGATGCAGGCACGCAAAGAGCGCACGTCTCACATTCCGATAGTGGTCATCAAAAGGCTCTGAGCTGTGCACCTCAGGTTCTTCCGCAGGTTGTTCAGCATCACCTGCCTGGGTTGGCGCTCGCTTTGGCCCCTCCCGGCTCTGTTGAAGGCATCCGCCGGCCACGCCTTCACCAGCTCAGCAAGCGCCTCTTTCGCAACTTTCTGAAGTCCGGCACCCATGTCGCCTGCCATCATTTTGGTGCAACTACCATGAGCTATGCAACAAAACAGCGCCGCTCCTGAAACCAGGGCAGGGGTGCCTGAGCGCCACTTCGCAATGCTTTCAGAAAGTTCCTGGGCGATGGTTTTCCTGAGGCACGCGAAGTCAAATAGGGTGGTTTCCACTTCCACCTCTCTGGCAAAGCAGCCCAACTACCTTTTCTTTAGCCCAAGCGACTGCATCTTGGGAGAACCGCCAGAGGTCTTCCTAGGCGAACGTGTGTTGCATGCTAGCTTGATGCGGATGCAGCCTCAATAAGAATGGGTTCCTGGGCAACCGTGTCTGACAGAGCATTACCAGAGCCTTCACGTTTGGGAGCAATCAAATCATCGCACGCTGCACTGGACTGTGCCTTGAACCACTGAAAACAAAACCTGAATCTGAAACTTTCAAGCTTCTATCTCAACACTTTCTGCAGCATATTGCCTGAAATTTCCGTGAGGCGAAATCTACAAATGATTCAAAAACACCAAGAAGCTGCGAAACGTGCTTGCTCAATCTTGCTTAAGCGTGCTCTCTCCCTCTTTCGGTTTAGCATTTCGTGACGGAAACTCAGACTGTTCGCTCTTCCCCCCCGGCCCAAACGGTGTGGTGTGGCTTGGGATTGATTGGCTGACAAATGCTGACAGGTTATGTCGTTCCTACCACGTGGGGGCCGTCAAAAGACGACATCTTTGCCATCTTAGACCTTGGCTGCACTTCGCAGGGTAGCTATAAATTTAACATTTAGCTGCCTTCTTAAGAAACCCAATAAACCCAAAAAAGCTAAGGATGTAAAGTTACAGTAAAGCACAACAAAGAGACATTGCGACAAGGGCGCTGTTTCTGTCTGGGGCAGGGCAGGGTCATGTTATGGGTCATGCCGTGCCAGCGCCTGGCATGTTCGGGAAGCAAATTTGGGTTTAGGGTTTAGGGTTTAGGGTTTAGAGTTTAGGGTTTAGGGTTTAGGGTTTAGGGTTTAAGGGGTTTAGGGGTTTAGGGGTTTAGGGTTTAGGGTTTAGGGTTTAGGGTTTAGGGTTTAGGGTTTAGGGTTTAGGGTTTAGGGTTTAGGGTTTAGGGATTAGGGTTTTAGGGTTTTAGGGTTTAGGGTTGAGGTTTTAGGGTTTTTGGGTTTAGGGTGTTAGGGTGTAGGGTGTAGGGTTTAGGGTTTTAGGGTTTAGGTGTTTAGGGTTTAGGTGTGCAAACTTCTGGAAGGGCCCTGGGCAGCCAGGCCAGACTTTGCTGGCCACACGCTTGCGGCCGGCGTCCGGGTCGCTGCGAGCACGAAGGCAGGATCAGGAATGCGCAGGCGGATCTCCGGACAAGGCTCTAGTGGTGTAAGAACCAACCCTACACCCAAAAAACCCTAAACCCTAACCCCGAAACCCAAAACCCTAAACCCTAAACCCTAGACGCCAAACCCTAAACCCTAACAGAAGAGATATGGGCCGTCCTTGGTGGAGCATCTCATCGCAGGTCATGCAGATCTTGGCCTAACCTCAGAACCCGCAGTGTCAGCCCTCTTGGATCCCTGATCGCAGTGTCTAGGCCCCGCCCGCTACTCAAACCCACTTGTAGCTACCCGACGAACCTCCAAGTACAGCCCTAAAACCCTAAAACCCCTAAACCCTAAAACCCTGAACCCTAAACCCTAAACTCAGCTGAGCGCTTCTTGTGCTCAAGGATCTTCTCGGCAACCTTGAGGAGCAGCTGCATGGACTTCTCCCGTACAATCTGCAGCCTCTTCCAGTCACCTGAGGACCTTGGCAGCCGGGCGAAAGCAAGCTGTTTAGGGTTCTTGGACAACAACCTCAATGACCTCTTTTAGATGTTTAGGGTTTGGGCTTTAGGGTTCAGGGCTTAGGGTTTCGGATTTCAAGTGGAGGGTTTCGGGTTTAGGGTTTCACCGTTTCAGGAAAGAAAAAGGGGGGGGGGGGGGTCCATTGCAGGATTTCTCTAACATACTCCCCCCAAACCTTTCCTTAAAAACGGCCCTGTCGGTCCATAGAATGCCTGTTGCCAAGCAAACACAGGGTGATCTTGGCCTTGCTGGGAGCAGGGTTTCTCTAACGTACCCCCACCAATTCCCTTCCACAGCCCCAGAAACGAAACGCGGTAGTCTCGGCCCATACAGAGGGGTCAGCAGGAGTCCTTGACCACATGAGGGTTCCAGCGGGCCCATGTCTTATGAAAGAAAGTGGATCCCTTCCTAAGTAGGCCCCTGAAACACGCAGGGTCTAAACAGGGTCTATGCCCAAGAGCCCAAGACCGTAACCTTTCAACTCCACACCGAAGCCAGAGTTGAGGGCGCCTTCTTTCTTTATTCAGGTTTGCAGCTACCCGTCATAGATAGAGCCTGTATCCCTCAGTTCATCTCCAAAAACCCAACACAACACGGGAAAGGAAGCAAACGCTTGTTGGCTGCCCGGGCTTCCAATCTCTCTCCTACTTCTGCCTCCCCCACTCCCCACGTCCCAAAGTCAAGAAAGGAAACAAGGAAAACAAATACTTCGAGGTTCGAGGGTAATTATAAGCAGGGTTCTAAGTATGTTAAGTAACTGTTACCCCACTTATATCTACCCATGAGCCTCCAAGTCCGGGAGGGGGGGGGGGGGGGGGAGTATGCTCATTCGCCATGTTGGGGCTCCCGGCCCCAGGGCAGCGGCATAGGCGCCCTGGACGAGATGCGGAAACAAGACTGTGTCTTTGCTTAACTGCCACACGCGGAAGTGGAAACATATAAGTGTATATATGTGTTTTGTGTGTATATATGTATATTTCTGTATATATATATATATATATATATATATACATATATATATATATATGTATGTGTATATATATATGTATATATAAATATACATATATGTATATGTATTTACATATATATGTATACATATATATATATATATATATATATACATATATATATGTATATATAAAACACATATGCAGTATGTGGGTGGCCTCGAAGGCCGAGATCAGCAGCTCCGGGCACCTAGGCCGTCTGTGCTTCCATCAGATTCAGGCCCGAGGCGCTTTTAGCCCGAGGAGCCCTGAGCCCTAAACCCTCAACCCTGAATGTCTGAATCCTGAACCCTGAATCCTAAACCCTAAACCCTAAACCCCAAACCCCAAACCCTAAACCCTAAACCCCCCACACACAAAACAAGAGCCGCCCTGAGCAGCGCACAGGTCGCCAAAGCGGCCCACAAGCGCCTGCGCGGCCTGGCATTCGGACATACTCTGATGCGCAGAGAGCTGCGTCCTGAAAAATGTCCCTGGGTGGTTTAGGGTTTAGGGTTTAGGGTTTAGGGTTTAGGGTTTAGGGTTTAGGGTTTAGGGTTTAGGGTTTAGGGTTTAGGGTTTAGGGTTTAGGGTTTAGGGGTTAGGGGTTAGGGTT